TTTATTTTTTTTAGTGTTCTGTCTGACGACAGGTCCATATGACCAGGATCCTTCCATCCTTTTCTCGGACTGGGATCTGTTCATATACGTTCTTGGCAGATGATCCAGAGGTGGTTTGCCATTGCCTTCTTCTGTGTGTGCATGGAGTAATTGTTGGGATGCCACGGAGAAACCGGGGAAGCCCCCGGAGGAAAACTCCGTGTTGCCTAGACCACGGCCTTGCCCAACACAAGTTATAAATTCGGGCACCGCCGGGAATCGAACCCGAGACCCCAGGATTACAAGGCCAGCGTTCTAACCGCTAGACCACCGTGGCTGTATCCAAGAGTAATAATGAAAGTAATTATACCTGCCCCCACTCACACTTCTTCATTATTCATAGCGTTGTTATCAGCAACTGGCCCAGTAGTGTCCTAACGCTAATCCTTCACATTAAGTCTAGAGACTTTCATAGTCCACGTGGCTCCCACATGATCTTAAGGAGGGCCCACGTATACCGTTCGGGTCTGGTACCAGCACCCCTCTAGGGACAGCTCTGCTGCTCCATCGCTCTCCCCTTTTCATCTTCGCTACCCTCATACTGTAACGCAGACCATACTCGGAGAAATTTTACATCCAGTAGAGAGGGGAGATGCCTGTTGTGTAAGCAAGCAGCGCGCCTACCCTTGTATTACTCCGTTGAAGTGCGAAGTGTAGTACTGGATACTGCCTGAGCACTGCGGGTCCCAACTTTTGCTTGGTTTTGATCTAGAGACATTCGGTAGGACTCCTCGGCCCGTCGCAAGGACAGCACGACACAGAAAAACGCGGACAAACATCCATGGCTTGAGTGGGATTCGAACCCACGGTCCCAGCGGCACAAGGCTCACGCCTCAGACCACGCGGCCACTGCAGACCCCGCGAATTATAGTGCAGTACAATAAGGTATAGCTTTTTTTTAATAAGCACAGATAACTAGCTATGCAGTTCGTGGGAGTCCAAGTCATCAGGGTGTGGGGAAGAACGTCGCATGAAGCATGTTTATGTTAGATGATTATCATTTCGTTAGTCGAATTAGAAGTGATTAACTGCATCTCTAGGAATAATCTGCTCGTCTCGTACAGTAGGCAGGCCCCAATTCACACCAGGTCTGTAACTGGATGATGCTGATAATGATTTGGTGCAGTGCCAGTATCACGGGGCTTGTTAAATTGCACTTCACTCGGTGTGCTAAATCGAAACACGCAAATCAGTGGCCTCACTAATTAATGCATTAAAGAAAAATCTGTATTCATGTTAGTACATTGTGTTTATCAGAAAAGAAGTATCGCACGTTTATTTTTGTGATGCCATGTACAGTAATAGAGCCAGGAACGAAAATGGTAGAATATGAAACTTTGCGATCGCACCTCGTACATAAACATGAACTTCGCCTTTAGGTACAAGCAGTTCTTATATCCCATCTTATCAACAAACATGTGTTCAACCCAAAACTGGCCGACTGGTCCGCATTTATGAGAAAGGCTGTATGAGAACAAAGAAGGCGCCTGTCTTGTATTTTCGTCTTAAATTCCATACTCGCTTCGATTTCTGGTTCCAGAACCTACTGCCCTGATATCAGTTTTGTATATAGTGTCCCAAAAGATTTACATAAACTTAAAACGTTTTAAAAACCTAAACCACTACATACGTCAGCATTGACATTTGGTTAATTAGCGAATGTAGTGTGGGTGTTAAAGGTGGCCGTCGTTAGCTTTGTGGCACAGCTGACAGGGGTGACCAACTGACTGTCAAGCGGCCGCCTGGGCTCTTGAAGTGTTTCTGGGTTTTTGCTGTACACCGCGTCTTTTGAGTAACCCCACAATAAAAAGTCGAGGAGAGTTAAATATGGCGATTTGGGGGAAAGGGAGGGGGCTACTCAACAGATCCTCTGGGTCCCATCCATCGGTCAGGAAAAGTATTTCAAGACAAGACTTTTTATTCCCATCGTAACACTTAATTCAATAGTGTTTCTGCCTATGAATCAATATGATGAGGACATTCTTCGCATCGTATAAACATGATTTGTTTTCATTTGTGAATATTATGTCCGTCCCATGACAAATTACAGATTTTCATCTGTAGATTTTCTGTAGAGACAAGTTGTGGTTTACCTGGCTGATGTTGTCAGCATTATCAGTGGCGGGTCGCTGCAGCCAGCAACACATAGCCGCGCATATGAGCATGGCCCCTGCAATAATACAGCCCACTCCGATATACCGCACCGGTTCCACGTAGTTCTCTGCCAGACCGAGCCAGTTTATAAGCGCTCCAACACACAACAGGATCATGCCATAGCGATATGGCCGCTGCGATCTCCGGGCCGCGTAGAGTGATGGTAGCGTCATCCTTACGGATAAACCTGCCGGACAAACAAACCTCGACCTTATAACTTGGCCAGGAATCAGGAACAATGCAACTGGTAGTTGCTTGTATTATTTAAATAACTGGGGTAATCCTTTTGAATGCCAAACACAGGAGTTAGTCCTACTTCCTTGTTATGATTGAAACATTGGCGTAATATCATAGATTCATACTCAAAATATCCACAAAGAGTTCATTAAAATATTAATTAATTTATTTGTTTATGTGTGCACGAAAATAATATACGTGAACTGGCTAATTATAGGGTTTTGCAAACACGATTATGAACGTCTTTTCTACAACAACCTGACATTTCTTGAACTGCTGAGCAGCTATAAACTTTTTAAGTAAGATCTAGTACCTTTGATGTATATTAACATCAGCTCTTTCAAGAAGTAGGCATTTTGTACTTTCACACTTGGCAACATTGCTAATTTTTTAAGCTACGTGGAACAAATTTGTTAATGAATATCTTACAGTATCATTAACTCATTCGCGGAGAAATGTTAAATCTGAAATAGGATACCACACTGTTGAGTATTCAATTATAATGATGCAGTTCAATAAGGATACCAAATAACGAATTTATTTTAAATAAGTCATTTCCGCTTGGCGTTTTTAAAAAAGCCAGAGGGACAAACGGAAAACATTGTAAACGTAACGAACCATTAGCAATTGCTGTGAGACGCGGAAAAAAATATCTACTTTCATTATCGTATTGTTATGAAGTATTGACACGTGTCATGTGACAACTTGTTAGATTTATAAAGGCATGAAAAGGATTTATAACACGTTGAATTTGGAAAACACGATGGGAACATTGGATGAACTCATACTTCGGGTTTAGTTAAACGTAATTCGTTGTTATAAATCGTGAAGAATGGTGAAGAAGTGATCAGGAAACATTTTTCGCAATTCTCCACCTTACATCTCTCCTCAAGGTAGTATATTTGCGTCATATTGTGAATTAGGTTAATATTTTAATATTTTCCGTCAAATCACAATTTTAATAAGATAATAAAATATAAAATATTTAAAATATCATAAAATATTAAAATATCTCTCCTCAAGTATTGAACGCTAATCAGGAAGGAAAATTACAGAAATTGCACCCAGAGACAGCCTTCTAAACATATCTTGCCGAACGTACATCGCAAAGGTCCATTCGATGCACGTATTCCGTGATGTGTCTCTGAGAACGTACATAAATGTACCAGAGGTTTAACAACTCAAAGCACTGGCTTTATTAAAAGCTGCTTTGTTACTGTTCATTTAAATTATGTCAAATGATTTAAAATGCAAAGAAACGGGTATCTGTTCAAACTCCCAAAGACAACTGACGTTTCGAATGTCTATTTAACGCTAAACAATGCCCGTGTGAGTCGGTACCATTCGGTGCAGGCGTAGCGGGTTGCATAAAGAGAGAAATCGATGTATTCCTTGGCTCAGAAGCGGTTAAAAGTGAATGGCCTTTGACTCTGGGAAAAGAGCCCGAGGTTCGCCTTCAATTGGGAGCCTTTATACAGTTTTATCGAGCAGTCGTAACAAATATAAAGAACAAAAATTCTATTGATATTAATATCAGTAGAGGATGACGTAATAAGACAAAGGGCCGTGTTGAACCCAAGGTTCATGGCGAAGTTGCGTAACGTTCAGTACAAGTTCTCATACGCGGAAATGAATATAACACGAAAACTGTCTTGTCTAGTGCAAATTGTTGACTACATAACCACAACTTAAAATTCTTAGCTGAGGTTATCCAACTGAAGAGATACCAAAGGTCTCCGAAAGCCAAACGGGCAGAAAGTTGTAGCAAATTTAATAATTTTGTGATGTGTTCTCAAAACTGTCTAATCTTTCTACTCGCAGAAAATAATAAAATGTAGACTAACTGTTCACGAAGTCTAAATCTGATAGCTATTTTCTTAAAAAAGGTGGTTGTGCCCTGGCTACGTACCGGATTTTAAATATTGTTCTGTATAAGATAAATAAACATTAAAGTATTCAGATATATAATTTTATTATCTGTTATGTGAGTGAGAATATGACCTCTCACCCTGAGGGAAGATCATGGACTGGCAATGTCTGAGAGAAAAAATACTGAAGAAAACATTTGAACTTAAGATAGAAATTAAGAGGACATTTCAAGCTGTAATGGTGACTGAATACAGTGAATTATTCTTGAGCGATTAGTAAAGACTACATGTTCACATGTCGCACAACATATTTGGCAAAAATGTTTCACTGCAAGTAATTTTTAGGACAGAGGAAATCATATAATGAGAAGCTTATTAATTTGTACTCCCCCAAGAATTGTTTTTGGTTTATGAAATTATCGGAGCATGTCGCAAGCATGGAGGTGAGGAACATATACAGAAGTTAAACTTTAATAACGAATCCCAGGAATATTAATGTCAGTTTTACGTCTGTGGATACACTTCGAGACTGATTCAACTCAATCTGCAGTTTACGCTGGTTGAGTTAAAGCGACGTATTAGCTGGATAAAAATTCCTCGGTGCACGTTTCACTGTAATGTAATTATCGAATAACTTGTGAACAATTTTCAGATTTCTCTCTCCCAAAAGCTCGAATTGCTGTATAGTGATATATCTCGCAAAGTTGTTAAGCCTGCACGCTGCGAAAGCAAGAAAAGTTTGTAGCAGTATTTATCTGAAGAAAAAAACTGGAAGACACGTGGTTTGGAAAGATAGCTTCGGTTTTCATTATAATTTTTTTTTATAATATATAGTGTAGTCTCGATCGGATGTTCAATATGACGTCAGAACATTGTAACTTCTTATCGATAATGACCTTGTGATGCGGTAGACCAGTTGTATAATAAGAAAATCAGAGCTGTTTTTCCCCCTCTTTCCTGCGTCATTTGCTCGATAATTTCTGTATTCCGTGGCTGAAAACCTGAATGCTTGTATGGGCCTCAAAATCTACATCTCTACTCTCATTGGTCAACTTCTCACTCTTCACAAAGCAGACGTATAATTAAAGGATTATTCTTATTCCTATCTTCGTCAATTCTATCTGCTACTTGTCACTTACAGCCCTTAATGCACGCAACTGTCTAACAGGAGCAAATAGTTCTGCAACGTGTGCCATGGCGGGCTTTTGTGTTGGTGGTTACGAACCTTTGTTTCTGGTTCCAGAGATTCGGTCTTCGGGTCGCGTTGAAAACACTGACCGACAGGCTAAATATACCACTCTCAGGGACGAAACTTGTGTAAACTGGAAAAATGATGCTTCGCGAAGTTTTAATTGTTATTCACAGCTGATCAGGTTTTTTTTTTAAAAAAATCTTGGTTGTAATTAATTTTTAGTCGAGTTTGCAGCTAAAAGTTGCAAAAGTTTGCCTCTTAGCTTTGTCATTCTATTCGAGTATTTTTCCGCGTAAGAACTCAAAAACCGATAATGCATATTCACGGAATTTGATACTGGGGAGTTCAAGTAAAATACGGTGACACATTCCAATTTTGGCGAGGAGTGGAAAACAATTAAATAAAGTTTATAAGAAAATTAATATGTGAGTTTTTAGGAGCGCGACGATGGAGGATTCCCCGATCGGGGAATCCCCCAACATTTCACAAAGGAAAAAGTTCAAAATTTAGCGAAAGCGCCATGTATATTAAACGATGCATACGTTTTCAAACTTGTTGGATTCATTAAATGTACAAAGTTCTAGACATGTTGAGGATTCTGCGTGGTCTGGTCCTTGGGGGTTGAAAGCTGAAGTTTCTTACGTTTTGAAATTCGAAGTTTTCTTTCAAGTGAAAATGAGTTTAACATCGCAAAAATTTCCAGGTGTTTTTGAAGGAACATATTGTCATCATCTTCTGTACACTTCTGTCCTAAAAATGGAAGCTGTGTGGTCCACCGAAATGTTTATAAATACATACGTGTCCAGACAGAGTCATAACCAAGAAAATTATGGTAAGATTTGACGCTTTCACGGCAGTGGGTACAAAGATGGCTGTCTTCTGAGTTCTATCGTCGTCTACCAGTCAACACAGATGACGGTCATTTTCCTCTAAGAAGACTACAACCTAAGCAAACATAATATTTATCTAATATGTGAGGGGAAATGACCATTTTGGAAAACTCGACCCTAGAACATAGTTGACCTATTAAAACAGACTGGAGTGTTAATCTAGATCAATAGACTCTCTGGATGGAGTCTAATGGTGGATTTCTTGGAAACACGTTGATGGAGCTTCGGGTTCCATACATTTCCTTTCCAGGAAAGCTGCTACCAACTAAATACGAAGACCCTGTAATGTGTAGTTAATTTGCTATCCGACAAAACTTGTGTTTCTGAATCACAGATTTGTGAGAACAGAGTTAAACCGAGAAAAATATTTTTCGAAGCTCATTTAAGCCCAGTCACAATTATATCAAGGCTACAATCATATCTAGCTTCATCAGGTGTGTGACGAATTTGAATTCAGTGAAATTTACCAAAGACAGCCCGTACAAACCATCGGCATGACGAGATTCAGACATCGAAAAGTACATCAGACAAAATTTAGACATGATTCATAGATACAGGAAGGAGAAACAAAGAATAAAGAAACAAAGAAAAGGAGAAAATTATAAATGAAATAATGTGTGTCTTGTGAGGTTTGAGGTTTCAACGCCAGTGACGATCTTCAAGATGTCTTCCCGATGGGTTGGCAATTACTGTTCGGTACGTGCTGAGCCTATCTACGTTTGCAGTCATCGTTCATTGTCGGTACCGGAACGAATCAGAAATTTGTCCTTGAACAGGCCGCCTGAGGTTGGGGGTGATAATGGAGAGTTCTGCATCTACTCACAAAACTCGGGAGTCCTGGCGCGCATACACCCCAGTCATTTGCTAGTCTCGAGCGTTTTTCATTTGGGGGGTATTGAAAATAAAAGAAAGTAATAGGTTTTTAAAAATAAAAGCAAGAGAGTCGGATGATGGTGTCTTGGGGGAGGCATGTGTTGAGTTCAGGGACTCCTAGCCTCAC